CCAAAACCTCCCCAAAAATCAGATTTTTGTGCAATTTTACCTCCATTTTTTCCCCAAAAATCAGATTTTTATGCCATTTTAGTACCGTTTTTTCCCAAAAAATCAGATTTTTTTCCATTTTGAGGCCAATTTTACCCCAAAAACCTCCCCAAAAATCAGATTTTTATGCCATTTTAGTACCGTTTTTTCCCAAAAAATCAGACTTTTTTCCATTTTGGGTCCAATTTTAACCCCAAAACCTCTCAAAAAATCAGATTCTTTTCCATTTTGGTGCCTTTTTAACCCCAAAACCTCTCAAAAAATCAGATTTTTTCCATTTTAGGGCCAATTTTACCCCAAAAACCTCCCCAAAAATCGGATTTTTGTGCGATTTCAGCGCCGTTTTTTCCCCAAAAATCGGATTTTTTCCCACTTTTCCCCCCGGAGCCATTTTTTGGGGCGATTTCAGGGGTCCCAGTCGTTGTCGTGGTGCTGGGCGGCGATGATGATGACGACGGTGAGGATGGTGCACAGGACGATGGCGGCGATGCCGACGGCCAGGCTGATGAAGGAGAAGTTCCGCGCTTCCCGCGAGGCGATCTCGGCGCTGGCGATGTCCCCGCGAGCCACGGCCGCGCGCACCTGGAGAGGGGAGAAAGTTCCGGAAATTTCAAAATAAAATAAAAAAAAATTAAAATTTAAAAAAAAAACCCTCAAAAAATCCTCAAAAATCAAAAATAAAACACTAAAAAACCCCTCAAAAAATCACAAAATAATGATAATAATAAAAATCCCCGCGAGCCGCGGCCGCGCGCGCCTGGAGAGAGGAGAAAGTTCCGGAAAATTAAAAAAAAAATAAAAAAAATTGATTTTTTTAAAAAAAACCTCAAAAAATCCCCAAAAATGAAAAATAAAACCCTAAAAAATTCTCAAAAAATCCAAAAATAATAAAAAAAATCCCCGCGAGCCGCGGCCGCGCGCACCTGGAGAGGGGAGAAAGTTCCGGAAATTTCAAAATAAAATTAAAAAAATTTAAAATTTAAAAAAAAAACCGTCAAAAAATCCTCAAAAATGAAAAATAAAACCCTAAAAAATTCACAAAAAATCCAAAAATAATAATAAAAATCCCCTCATGAGCCGCGGCCGCGCGCACCTGGAGAGGGGAGAAAGTTCCGGAAAATTTAAAAAAAAATTTAAAAAAATTGAATTTAAAAACCCCTGAAAAATAAAAAAAAATCAAAAATAAAACCCTAAAAAAACCCTCAAAAAATCACAAAATAATGATAATAATAAAAATCCCCTCGAGCCGCGGCCGCGCGCACCTGGAGAGGGGGAAAATTCCAGAAAGTTCCAAAAAATAATAAAAAAAAAACCTAAAATATAAAAAAAAACCCTGAAAAATAAAAATAAAAATAAAAAAATTCCAAGAAAAGACCCTGAAAAAACTCTAAAAAAAAATCCCTAAAAAATAAATATTAAAAAAAATCCCAAACATTCCCTAAAATTCCGATGACCCCCGAAAAATCTCCCACCCCCCCCAAAAAAAAAACCTTCAAAAAATTCCCCAAAAAAATCCCCAAAAATTTTTAAAAAATAGAAAAAAAAAATCAATAAAAAGTAAAAAAATAAAAAATAATAAAAAAAAAATATAAAAAAAATTTTTAAAAAATCCAAAAAAATTCCCTAAAAATTCCCAAAAAATTCCCAAAAAATTCCCCAAAATTCCCCAAAATTCCCCAAAATTTCCCCAAATTCCCCAAATTTCCCCAAAATTCCCGACCCTCCCCGACCTGCACGGCTTTGACGATGGCGACCACGCCGGTGGGCCAAAAGCAGCAGAGCGTGGTCAGGACGGCGATGGGCAGGTAATCGTGGGGGGGCGCCCCCCGCTGCCCCTCGGGGACCCCCAAACCCAGGGGGGGGCCCAGCCCCGCCCCCCCGGCCCCGCCCACCGCGCCGGGGAGAGCCCCGGGGGCGGGGCCGGCGGGGGCGGCGCCGAAAGTCTGCGAGGGGGGGGGGAAGGGAAGGGTTAAATCGAGGCCACGCCCCCTCCTCAAAATCAACAACACCCCCCCCAATCTCTCCCTTTAAGCCACGCCCATTTGGGGTAACCACGCCCCCTTTAGGTGGGGCCATCTGGCCACGCCCCCTTTAGGACCACGCCCCCGTTTTGTCCCGCTGATGTTGGACCACGCCCCTCTCCATGGCCCCTCCCCCTCTTGGATTATTAATATTAATTATTAATAATTGCCCCCAATTAACAACGCCACCATTAAACACGCCCCCAAACCGGCCACACCCACTTTAATCAGTCCCACATTGACCACGCCCCAAATAAACCACACCTCTTTAACCACACCCACTTAAACCACAGCCCAATAAAAACCACACCCCTTTAACCACACCCCCTTAAACCACAGCCCAATAAAAACCACACCCACTTAAACCACGCCCCCAACGGACCACGCCCACATTGACCACGCTTCTAAAAATCCGCACTCAACCACGCCCACTTTAACCACGCCCCTTTGAACCACGCCCCTCAAACTCCGCCCCTTTAACCACACCCTCATAACCACGCCCCCTTTAGTCCCACCCACTTTGACCACACCCCTCTTTAGCCACGCCCTCTTTAACCCCACCTTCTTTAGCCACACCCTTCGTGACCACACCCATTTAGCCACGCCCCCTTTAACCACACCCCTCCCCTCATTGCCCCGCCCCCCTCCCAAGCCCCGCCCACTCACGGGGTAGACGGGCAGGTAGGCGGAGCAAGGCTGGAGCTGCAGCGCGAAGGGGGGAGGGGCGTAGGGGGCTGG